GGATTCCCCACCTGGATGCTCAGGGGGATCCAGGCACAGCCCAGCCTGGGGACTGTCTGTCCTGGTGATCCCAGATTTCTGGGACAGGCTGGATGTGGCTTGGAGCAACCTGGGGCAGTGGGAGCTGTCCCTGCCCACCACAGGGCTGGAATGGGATAAGCTTTAAAGCCTCTCCCATCCCAAAACATCCCATGATTCCAGGATCCCATCATCCATCACCCATCTTGCTCCGTCAGCAGAGGCAGCGTCCGGGTGAGACCCGTGGGACCTCCTGGATCCCACCTGGAGCTCATTCCCAGCCCTTCTCCCCCTGCTCCTGCCCTGCCTCTGCCCCCAGAGCTCCCGGGGAGGCTTTTCCTGCTCTAAAGGAGCAGCTCAAAGCGCTCCTGCTGCCCTGTCCCTGGTGCTTGGATCATCCCATCAGTCGGAGCAGGGCTGGAGGTGGCAGCAGCCAGGCAGGCTCGGGGGGCAGGTGAGGAATCCCTGGTGCTGCAGGAGAGATGATCCAGCCTCAGCATCCTGCCTGGGCTGGGAAAACCTCCCCAAAACCTCCCAGGGCAGGGCCATCCCGGCCTGGATCCCTGCTGGCCTTGAGGCAGGGCTCTGGTGACACTTCCTGGCATCCCAGTGGCACTGCCAGGTCCTGTCCCAAAACACACGGCTCTTCCCAGCATGGCCACCCCGTAGCTGGGAAATCCCCTTTGGTTTTCCCTCCTTTTTCCCCCCTTAGAGGCAATTTGGCTGTGCAAAGTTGATACAGGTACCTGCACATCCCTCCTGCAGCTGAAACCCTGGTGTGCCCTGGGATTGTCCCGGGACCGTGGCAGGATTGTCCCGGGATTGTGGCAGGATTGTGGCAGGATTGTGGCAGGATTGTGACAGGATTATGACAGGATTGTGCTGGGATTGTGGCAGGATTGTGGCAGGATTGTGGCAGGATTGTGGCAGGATTGAGGCAGGATTGTGGCAGGATTGTGACAGGATTGTCCCCAGATTGTGGCAGGATTGTCCCGGGATTGTGCCAGGATATTCCCCGGATTGTGGCAGGATTGTGGCAGGATTTGGCAGGATTGTGGCAGGATTGAGGCAGGATTGAGGCAGGATTGTGGCAGGATTGTGGCAGGATTTGGCAGGATTGTGGCAGGATTGAGGCAGGATTGAGGCAGGATTGAGGCAGGATTGTGGCAGGATTGTGACAGGATTGTGGCAAGATTGTGACAGGATTGTGCCGGGATTCTGGAAGGATTGTGGCAGGATTCTGACAGGATTGTGCTGGGATCGTGGCAGGATTGTGGCAGGATTGAGGCAGGATTGTGGCAGGATTGTCCCGGGATTGTGCCAGGATTGTGACAGGATTGAGGCAGGATTGTGTCAGGATTGTGACAGNCGGGATTGTGCCAGGATTGTGACAGGATTGAGGCAGGATTGTGTCAGGATTGTGACAGAATTGTCCCCAGATTGTGGCAGGATTGTCCCGGGATTGTGCCAGGATATTCCCCGGATTGGGCCGGGATTGTGGCAGGATTGTGACAGGACTGTCCCAGGATTGTCTCGGGATTGTGGCAGGATTGTGCTGGGATTGTGGCAGGACTGTGGCAGGACTGTGGCAGGATTGCCCCGGGACTGTGCCGGGATTGTCCCCGGACTGTCCCTGGACTGTCCCCGGATTGTCCCCGGAGCCCGGGGCTGGCAGCTGGCCCGGCCCCGGCACCTCCCGGCTGCCAGCCCGGGATTATCCCCCTGGATCCCCGGATCCGGGGCTCGGGGCTTGTGGCCGCCCCAGTGCCCGGCGGGGCTCTCGGCCACCACGTCGCGCTCGCCACCCGCTCCGTGCTGCCGACACGTGGGGACACAGCCAGTGTCACTCGTGCTCCTCCTGCAGCACGTGGCAGCTGGTTGAATGTCCCCTGAAGAGCTGGCATGTGGCTCTGTGTCCCCCTGCGCCCCGTCCTTCCCCTGTGCCCTCTGGGGACGTGTCGCTGTCCCCACCGCTGCCAGCATCGGGGCTCTGCTGCAAAACATCTTTGAATTATTTAAAAAGAAGGCACAGAATATTTTCGGTTCTTTTCTGGGGGATTTTTTGGTGTTATTTTTTAAAAAAACTCTGTTTGTAGCAGGTTTCTCTTCCCTGGGAAGGTGACAAGAGGTGTCCACACCAGGGGGATGGGGACAGGGACATGTAGGACCCCATCAGTGACCAGAGGCAAGGAGGTTGGAGGGTGACAATAACTCCAGCCCTAATAAATCACAATGACACCATTACACGGGGCCACATCACATCTCAGCAGCCACCTAATTAAAAACTGGAATAAAACAGGGCAAGAAAATAACTAAATTTGGGTGCCTCCGCATTGCTCATCTGGGGACAGTTCTCTGCAGGGGGGAGGGTTTCTTTGATCCTAATTAGGCTCCAGATTGGAACAGGGATGGGGACAGGTGGCTGTCCTGGTGACCTGGGACACTGTGACCCCACAGAGCAGGACTGCTGCTCCCAGGGGTATTTTTTAACACTCCTTCTTTTATTTTTAATCCAACCTTCAAACTGGACCCAAAGCAGATATTTATAACCCTGCCAGGACCTTGCAGGTTTTTGGGGAGTGGGATGCTCACAGCTCTGGATAAACAGGGTGGAGCTGGCACAGGGCCATTGAGGGACGGGGCTTGGGGACATTGTGGCACAGGGCTTGGGGACATTGTGGCACAAGGACCGACACAGTGGCACACAGGCCTTGGGGCATCTTGAATCTGATCTTGGGGACGCTGTGGCACAGGACTTGGGGACTTCACAGGATGAGGCTCAGGCACATGAGGGCACAGGACTTGGATTAAAACACAAATTCCTGCCTGGCTTTGCTGGTTCTCATCCCAACTTGTTCTACAACTTCCCAACGAGAGGAAAAATTTTTATATTGGGCCCCTGGGGAATGGCTGGAACAGGAGCCCAAACTTCCCTGATCAGCCCCTTCTGCCACAATTCTCTGCTGCTTTACTTCTCCCAAGGAAAATTAAACCATCAATGGGACTGGGGAGCCCCAGTGCCTTCCCCTCCCTG